TTTTATATTTTTGAAATTTGAGAAAAAAATAAAAGCAACTAAAACTAAAACTAAGTCGAGTAAATTATAAAATCTATAAAAATAAAAGTTGAATCTCCAAGAAAACACTTTGCTGAGCTCATTGCCCCAGATCGCCAGTTCTTTATGACTTGTTGATACTTCTTTTCTTGATACAGATAATAGAATATACTTGAAATTGTTTATCATGATAGTTGTTATTGTATTGGTGGTGATTGAATAGGTAAACTGGTTTAAGCCGGTTGTTGTTATTATTGTTATTGGATTAATGAACCAGTTTGAACCAGTTTTGTTGTTGTGATTTGAATGACATAATGAATTTTGATTGAATAATTGCCAGACATTAATTAATTGGAAGGGATAAACTAATTTCAGTTTTTAATATTAAAAAAGATTAAGAATTTTTTTGAGTGGTACAGTAAGTGATGCTAAAATAGAGAAGTATATAAAGATTGTATTGAAATAAACATTAGAACCTACAACTTTGTTTGAGTGTATTTTTTTGAAAGGTGTTTATAAACATAGCGATTATGATGATATATATAAGGATGGTTTTTATAATAAAAAAGGGGTTTGGGTTATAAGAAAACCAAAAAACCAAAGTGTACTGTCATGGATCTTTTTTTATGCAACTAAAGAATAAACAAGATTCCCAAACTTGAGTAGACTTCGACCAGAGGTTCCATTCCACTGCATCAGTTGTCTTTAGTATTCTTAGGTTCCTAAGTTGGGGTTCACTTGTAATAAAGAGTATAAAACATTTTTCTTTGATCAAAATTACCATATATGGAAATTTTTGAGCAAAATGGATGCAATCAGAAGAGAGTTTTTTATATAATAATTTTATTTAAAATTTTAATATATTGTTGTTTATATTTTAAAAAAACCATATAATTTTTGTGTTTTTTCAATAGATAAATATTAAATTAAATAAATATATCTACCTTTTTGATATTTTTAATTTCAAAAATATATTATTTAACTAAAGGTTAACATAGTAAAATTATAAATCTTTATAAAGATAAACAATTCTTATCAAAAATTTTAAAACTTTTTAAAATTTATAAAACAATTGTTTCTTATACAATTAAAAATTATCTTAATAAAAACAATCTTAATATTCTTTCCAAAACTGGACATCTAAAATTATTAACTTTTAAAAACAAAACTATTTTAAAAAAAATTGTTAAAAAAAAAAAACTATTTTAAAAAAAATTATTAAAAATAATAACAAGAAATTTGCAAAAACAAATTAGAAACAAATTTATTGAAAAATTAATATTAAAGTTTCTATTAAGACAATTAAAAAAAATTTATATAAAATGAATACTTCTTTCATATATCAACTCAAAAATCATTTTTAAATAATCAATAAAAAGAAAACTTTCTAAAATAATATTTTGAAAAAAAAATTGAACTGTTTAAAAATAAAAGATTATTATATAAAGTAATAAAAATAGATTTACAATATTCAAAAATAATGGTTCTGGTTGTGTTTGAAAAATTCCTAGTACAAGATATAATATTGAAAATATATAGTAGTTTCAATAGTAAAATTTGAAGGCAGGAAAATAATGATATAAAAATGTTTTTCAAATAAAGAATTGGATTCATTAGTAAAAGTATATATGTGATATACAGTATATTATTTTGTTATTAATTCAATTTTGTCAAAATTTTAAAATAATTGTGTTTGATTTAATTATTTTATTTATTTTAATAATGACTTAATTAATTGTATCAAATAATTGTATCAAATTGCATTAAGGATTTATTAATTTCTACCACATATATAATTATATTAAATAATTGTATTTCTGAATATTTGACAACAGTATGATAAATAATACTATTTTGACTAGTGTTAATTATAAAAATTTATATAATTAAATAATAATAAGATATATTAAATAATTAAATTTCGACTAATATTAATATCTATATAAATAATTATACTTTTTTCTATTTATTGAATATTTAAACTATACTTAAAAAATACCTGTAGGTTCATAGTACAATAGTTAGTACTTCACAGATTAGATCACAAGATATCAGTTCAATCTTATGTAAAGGCAATTAAATAGATTTGATATAGTATTTGATACCATAATCAATTATATGCTATTTCTTATAAGGTTATTTTATATATTAATCTAGCAAGTATTAAGATTGTGATCTTCTTGTTAAGATATAGTGATGTGATAATTGTTCAATTGGTATTATAATAATTGTTTAATAAAAGATATTACCATATATTTGAATATACAGACTGGGCTATACTCTATCTTAATTAATCCTTATCAACTTCCAAAAAAACAATCATTTATTTGAATATATACAGTAGATTGGACTGTACTTTATTTTATCAAATCTATATGACACTTTTTTTTCTTGTTGGTTAGTAATTAAGGAAGCTTTAAAGAAAAGCACTGAACCAATACTATCATTTTGTGTGATATGATTATTCCAATGGTTTATCATATATGTAAAAGTTGTGCCTTGCTTGACATTTATATCCTTAGATTTGGCAACCTATACCAACTGATTTTGAATTGGAGTATTTACTAGAAAATAAAGGATTTTAAGAACTTGCTTAGTATAGTTTGTATAGTTCTTAAGGAGTTGTATTTCACTTGGCCACAAAAGTCTTTAGATTTGATAGCTAGTATTAATCAGCAGATCAAAATTGAAACATTCACTAGAAAGTATATATCCATATTGAGGCTCTTTTGCTATATTAGCTATATAAGCAAAAAGGTATGATGTGATAAGTAATTTTAGAAAATAGTCAGTAGTATTTATTATCCTTATATAAAATTGGATCGATAGATTAGATAGTTTAAAACTAGTAATAGGATTTCCATATCCTAGATAGATTTTTCTAAAAAATATGAATCCACTTTATGAGTATCATTAGTATCACTAGAGCAATAAGTAGATATGTTAGTATTTAGCTATTATAATAACAATAAATGATGTTTGATGTAATATAAATATTGATGGTTATTCAATAAAATCTATATTTAATACTATTCTACTATAAAAAAACAAAAAAATAAGCTATACTTAAAAAACAAATATATCAAAATCTCTATATAATTTGAAAGTTGATTTATATAAAATAATTACAATATCTTTATATAAAAAAATAATTAATTTATTTTTATTTTACTTTATTAATTTTATTTATTATATATTAAGTTAACTTTTAAAAGCAAATATAAAAGTAAAAAATAAGCAAATATCAATTTTTTCAAATTTCAATTATTATTTAGAGACAAACCTATATATTTGAATATAATATCTTGATATAATTGGATATTTTTTTATTTTAAAACAATTAGATATTATTCAAGTCTTATATAAATTTTAATTAAATTTTTTTATGTTTTTAAATAATTAATAGAAGTATAAATTAAGTTTTTAATAATACTACTTCAATACCAATTTAATATCAATTTAATACTTAAATTTATTATAAATCTATATAAGTATGTTATAATCCATATATTAAATTTACCATAGATTAATATTATTTTAATATTGGTTTAATATATTTTTGAAACCTTAGTATATAAATAGAAGATTGATTTTTTGAGTTTTGTATAAAATAATTTCTAGAAAAAGATATATATATTAGTCTAATGATTATAATCTTACTTGTACCAAATAAATCAATTATAATAAACAAGAAGCATAATAATTGTCTTGCCTTCTTAAAAAAAAAAAAACAGTTACATTATTAAAAAAAATATTGTTAGAAAGATTAATTATGACACAAGGAGGTAAACAAAAATAAACTTGTTTCTATATAATTTGAATATTTTAAATATTTTGGATATTTTGAATATTTTAGATATTTTAGATATTTTGTATATTTTGTATAGTCAGGAATAAAACAATGCCTATTTACCCCACAAGAAAATGTATTGCCAACAACATGATACATCTTAATAAAAACTCAACATTAAATCACTTGCCTAAACGACGAGACACTGTTAACTCGCCCAAATCTCTCACCTCTTTCGATAGTAGCACGTGACCCTTTCGTGACCACCCGCGACAATATAGTCAGAATGTATATTCTATATTTAAAACAAATAGTTCAAAAAAACCAATTAACGACGTCATTATAATTTTTCAAACATTATATAAATAAGTATAATATAGACATAATAGATAATTAATTGTGTACTAGCAAAATAATCTATTGCATAAATTATATTAGTATGGCGTACATGAAATTCGAATTTCTGATACATATTCTAATGTTTTTTTCTATTATATTTTACATCAAGTGAGAGATGATTCAAAAGATTTTTTAACTTTTCTAGCAAATTCATCATCTACCAAAATATCTAGGCCAACTAAAGTTATGCCCTTTGTTGCCTTCAAGGTTTCAATATGTGCCAATTCAGTTCTGGCCTGTTTTGTAAATCCCGGTGTATGATTACTTTCACCAGGCGGTGGGTGAATATTATAGAATGGATGGAATCCAGGGACTACATATGTCACATTTCCTTGATCGGTTGATCCTGTGGATATTAACAATTGTTCTTCCTTCGATGGAAATTCAACATCAAACTTCGTGGATAGATATTTTTCGTAACGTTTTGCAATTGGGTTGTTAACTTTTACATCTATAATAGATCTAACGCTTAACAATTACTTGACACTTAGTGAAATAGTAAATGGAAAGTGAAGGGTTTACCATAAACTTCTCTACCCCATTTTATTTTCAATTTAGCGCCAGTTGCTTCAGATGCGGCTTCGAAACATTTTTCCACACGTGGCCTAAGAGCACGCAAATCTTCAATAGTTCTTCCACGAATATAGAATAAACCAGATGTATAATCGGGAATTACTAAATTTTTTAAAAAAAGTTATTAGTAGCACTAATTTTACATAATAGAAATATTATTATACCTACTGTTAGGTGCTTTTCCTAATTACATATGATAAATGAATGAAATTATATTAATTTTGGAAATTGATAAGTAACTTAATATTTACTTACCTCCATTAGTGATTATTCCATGAATTCTGTGAATTATTCAAATAATCTGTGAGATAAATAAAGAATTAAAATGAATTAAACTAAACAAAATTACCTATTTGTAGGCAACATTTGTTGTCTCAAAAGTCCAATATTATTATAAGCCAATACAATGGCGTCTAAAGCATTGATTCCTGGTTTAAATTAAATATTGATTTTAGATAGTCGAAGCGCCACCCTCAATATAAAACATATATATCTACGACATTACCTTCCCAAGGAGCCCCTAAATTTTATAATTAGTTTACCAAATATAATTATAAATCAGGAATATTTTTGCTTACCCGATGCATGAGCAGTCTTTCCAAAATATTCTACCGTTACGTTTTGTATTGCTAAAAATCTAATAAATGCTCCATCTACAGAGCTGTTGAAATCATAAGTTTATTATGAATAGCAACTTATAAATGTATAACTTAAAAACATGCCTTGGATGAATCATTAGAGAGACATCAACACCTTCGTACGCGCCTGCCTTAATCAAGTCGACTTTTCCACTGCCAGATTCTTAAATTATACAAATCATTTAAAAAAAAGACAATGCAAAAAAACCATAACTCCGGTCAAATTACCTTCTGCGGGTGTACCATATAGTTTCACGGTTCCTTCTATGTCGAACCTCTCGAGTACAGTTTTAAGTCCTATTGCAGCTCCTATTATTATAGTTTAATTTAGGATCTTGAAAAAGAAACCACGAAATTATAAATTCACGAACTTCTCTTAGACATATACCTATTCCACCAATTGCTATTAAATCTAAAATTAATAAACTTATTTAAATTATTTTGAATTAGTTATTCTACAATAATCCTCTAATGATAATAATAAAACTCACTATGTCCACAACCATGTCCAATACCAGGAAGAGCATCATATCTGATTATTTATCAAGTGCAAAAAAAAAAAATTAAGATTTGCAAATGTTACGCTTCGTATATGTTGACGATGTATTAGATACGTGTATTTACTTACTCGGAATTAAATGAAACAACGCGACCTTTTCCTGATTCTGAACGGAATTCCGCTACAAAAGCAGTGTCAAGTCCATATGCATTTGACGTTACGGTGAAACCCTTTTCTCTCATATACTTTACAATGAGATCATGAGCATGTTTCTCTTTGTTTGATAATTCCGGTCGATCATGTATCTAAACGAGTTCCAGAAATAAGCACTATTGTTATTCAAAATAAAAAGAATGGATCAAAACTCATCTTTCACCTCTAGACTTATTTCTCTGAGCTCTCCCGAAATGTCGTCAATAGTTTTAAGAGCGACATCTTCAATGTCAGAGAGTTCATAATATGATTTCTCGTCAGTATTATTATCAAGGGTGACACTGTGAGTATCTGATATTGATCGATCATTATTTGAACTAAGAAGCTATTAAAAATATTTATAAAGAAACACAAGTTAAAAATGATAAGTTCTGCTGAGCACTTTTAAATGATACATAACATACCACAGACTTTTCATTTTGTGATTTTCGTTTTGATTTTTTAAATGGTTTTTTGATTATTCTTTTCAAATTTTCAAAAAGACCGCAATTGTTTTTTTTATCGCTTTCTTTCGAGTCTCGATTCATTATAGATCAATATAGAAAAAAAAAGGAATAAGGTGGGGCAACATTACTGTTAAATATACGTCATGCGCGATCGATCTATATCTATTTAGAGTAACTCATTTAAGTCACATGGTCAAAAAAAAAAAACTTTATTCTGGTAGTTTTCTTTTACCAACATTTATGTGATCATAAGGACAGTGTCTACAATTATTTCCACAACAATAACCCCTTTCTTTATGAAATAATTCAGTCATTACTATATTGGAAGTTTCTGGATCCACGTAAGTTCTTTGATCATTCTAGTTTCGATCAAAATTCCTTTAGAAATTTTTAATCGGTATATTAAAACAAATCTCGACGACCTTATAGTCACCTGAACGGCAATCCTGTGAGCTTCGGCCCATGGAGGATTTGTTTTCCCGTCGTTCTTTGTATTGGTACTTGATAGTTCTTCATTGACATCTGCGTGATGATTATCCAAAACGTTAAGTTCACGTTCTTTGTCTTCCTTATTTGCCGAAGTTCTCATTGTGGTTCTTAAAATTCGTGACGAATGTTTACGAAAAATATGCGTAATGAGAAATCGATTTAATTTATTCCCGAATAAATATTGGGCCATTAAAAATCAAAAATCCCAATGTTTAAACAATGCAGTTACTTTGCGTTCAGTAATTTTATCCGGTATATATCTTCCGGTAAAAGTATGGAGCCGTCCCATTTAATGTATAATGTAAATCGGATTATCGTTTATACTGTATTTATTATTTAAATTTGTAATTTTTAAAAAAATATTTTATATTATACTATATTAAAATTAAAATTGAATAAATAATTTTATTACTATTATAAAATAAAATAAATGTTTTTTTTTAATATTTTATAAATTATATATTTTTGCTTTGATTTATTATAGTCCAGTTCAAAAAAAAAATCAATATATTTTTTAATATATTTTTTATTAATAATTCAATAAGAAGTTAATTTTTTATTTTTATTTTATTTTTTAAATCCACAATTAGGTTGTGTCATTTTATTTATTAAATTATAGAACTATTACAAGTATGAGAATATATGCAAAATATAAATCTTCTTAATCCAGCTTACTTATTAACAGCCAAAACCTCTAAATATAATTTATAGAGATAATATATTATTTTTCTAATGGATAGAATTAAAATCCAAAGTTTTCAATAGGATTAAAACCTGCAAATTACCTTTATAATCATAACTATAAATTCAATTGGTTTAAACTGTCAAATCTAGAATATAAATATCAAATAAAATACAACTTTTATACTGAT